ACAACTAAACTACTTAGGTTTATACAACTGAACTACTTAGGTTTACACAACTAAACTACTTAGTTAGGTTTTAGAAAAGACTGTAAACTACTTAGTTAGGTTTAGGAAAAGTTGGTGGTTTGGGCTACAGTAGCTAGAGAAGTGTCGTTACTGAAGTACGGAAGTTACGTGACAAATAAATCAACATTGTCTTGTTTTATGTGCAGAACGAACGGCGGTCTCGTGGATTAAATATCTGTTTGTTGGTCTCATCCCGTCCTGTGTTGTTGAAGAGTACGTGGATAACTTACAACATCAGTTCATGGGATATCTACGAGTTATGGTGCATTATATTTTGTAGGTATAGCTACGAATGCTGGAGGAGAGCAGCCTGGTTTAATTAAACTGCAGCAAAGCTCCAGTATTTAGTCCGTTAGCAGGTCACTGCACCGTGCAGCCGGTTGTAAAGGTGTTGAAAGTGAAGCTGTGGCTCAGGCGGCGTTAACAGGAGATGTTTTTAGAGCTGCAGGCTGCTAAAGTTTTACATCTCACATGTTGCAGCCCGGCTCAGTACCCCCCCCCAAGCCTCTCTGTCATTGGCTGGCGAGGGAAGAAACTGGAGAAGAAAAAAAGAAGCCAGCTTTTTTATGACAGGCTTGACAAAATAAGCAGCCTCTCATTACGGGATATGCAAACAATGATGAAGAGGACGGCGGCGGGATGTCATGTTAGACAATCAAGGAGGGGACCTCTGACACGCTGCCACGAGCCCGTAATAAAGTGCCGCGCCGGGCGACAAATGACACCGCACTTAATTTGCTGTGCAATGTTCCTGTAATTAGGTGAATTTGGCACAGGCAAGGGGGAGCGACAGCTAGATCAAGGTCTTGATGAATTAGGGGTCCACTGTCAAGATCAAATCACATTAATCAAGGTGGCCGAGCGCGCGGACAGCCTCCCCCCCTCCCCCGACTCCCCCACCTCCTCCCAGCCGCTGTGATGAATAGCCCTGCTTCCGCCAGGCGCGAAGTATGCATCACCATCAAATCTGAGAATCTAAATGTAAGAGGACTATTTGGAGAATTCTATTGACTTTTCTTTTTGTCCCGGTGCCAGTTTTCTTTTTCCTCTCGTGTGATAAAGTAACTTTAAAGTCCTGCAGGAGTTCTTACACTGAGGAGGAAGATGTTTGCACTGGTTTAGACCAGAAACAAACATTTAACATCCAGCTGATGATAAGTTACTTTAATAAGAGTTCATCAGTTCATAGAATATGATGCATCGTTGTAGATTATATTTTGTTTCCAGATCTTTGAAAATAGTTTCCCAAACAGACGCGCTCTGAAAAAGATCTTTTAGATCAAACCAACAAACGACCTAAAGAGTTTACGTCCTCGACTTCTGAATCTAACGACTTCATATCAAACTGACACTGAACATGCATGTTGTCTTGAGTTCTCGCCCTCATTTGACACCTAAACATAAACCTCCAACGAAAACTTACATTTGTAAAAACAATCTGCAGATTTTGTCCGAGCACAAAATAAAAACTAGAAGGTGATGTGTGTGTGTGTGTGTGTGTGTGTGTGTGTGTGTGTGTGTGTCCCTGAGCAGAATAAATGGGCTGTGTTTCTGCGGTGGGACTCGCCACCAGCGCGCTGCAGCCTGCTCCGTGACCTCTCTACTCGGGGAGTTTAATTACGGCGCTGGCTCGGGGGCAGAGCGGCCTGCACCACACAGATTAGCTCCACAACAAGCCATTAATGAATATAAAGAGGTGGCGGTCGGGTGTGTTATGTCGTGGTGATGGATCCGGCCCTGCCGATCGCCGCTAATGGAGCGAGCTGCAGGTTGATACGAGCCGACCGGCAGAGATTTATGTGTCCTTATTATCCAGGAGGAGAGGTGGAAGGTAGCCGGGTACTTTGACCTGCAGATACTCTGCTTTACTTTAAGCTTCTTTACGATCAGCTGATGAACTTCTGCAGGATCACAGCTCATGAGTTAGTATTTATACCATGTCGTACCGTCTCACCGTCAAACCATCGACTCTTTGATTCCTTTATGCTTTCTGTAGACTTTGCCTGAGTGAATTACCCACAATTCATAGCGTTGTGACGTTAAACACCATGTTACCAGTGACAAAAAGAAAAAAGGCAAACGCACGAAGAGAGTAAAAAATATGAAATAAATAAGCGTTGTAAGCCTTTGCAGCCTCAAACACTTTTATTTATTTAATACAAAAATGTAATTTATTTCTTTTAATTTTTTGTTTAAATGTGAAATGATTTCCAGCTCTTCTTCATCTGTTTAAATTCTTTAGATTACACTTTAAACATGAAGCTAAATGAATGTTTTCCTCCTCACACTTATTTATTTATCTGTAAAAAGAATGTTTTCTGTTTTTATTTCTTTATTTTAAACGTACAGAACTACAAAGACACAAATAAAGATTATTATGATGTCAGTTCAGTCCCTGAGGGTTCAGGTCTAAGGCCTTAGGGGGACCTTGGTGCTGGTCTTTGCTCATTCTTCTTCCTCTCGTTCACACTCAGCATCAGCTGGTGAGCTGCCTTGCTCAGAGGCTCAGAGGCTCCTCAGTAGAGCTCCAAACTTCAGACTCCTCAGAGCATCAGAGTGTTTCTTCTCTCTAGCAGCCAAACATCATAATAAACCGTATCAGAGAGCAGAAGCAGCATCCATTATTCACTCTGCACGTCGGCTCCGCCGTCGTCTGCTCTTGATATTGAACTTGGCGAACGCTCCGCTCTCATCAGCGCCGGATACACGCTGCTCACGAGCTCACGAGCAAACCTCCAGAGTTCAAGAGGGAAATAAAGAACGAGCTCTGAGCTGAACAGGAAGTAAAGGGTAGAGGAAGAAGAGGAGGAGGAGGAGGCCACTTACCCGTGCATGGCGTGCAGCGCGTGGGGCTCGTAGTGGTAGCGTCCCTCGTGGTGCCGCATGTCGATGGGGATCGGTGTGTGGAAGGTGGGGAACATGTGGTGGGGGGCTGCGAAGAAGAAGAAGAACTTCATCAGAAGACTTTTCAAAGGCTAAACAATAAAGCAACATGGATTTTCAGAGTAACATATATTGGTTCTATCACACAAGAGAAGTGGGATAAATAAATAATCAAAGTGGGCCTAAGAAGCCTGACATCTCCCACATAAGAGATCTCCAGCAGAGCTTTGACAAAGACCCCGACGTCTTTCTCCTCCGTTACAAACACGGACGCTCTCGTGGCCTGCTTCCTGCTTCCTGCTTCCTACTTCCTACTTCCTACTTCCTAACGGGACCGTTGGCTTTGAGTTCCTAGGAGAGGAAATCGCAAGAAAGCTCCTCTCGTCACCTTCAGGCGGGGAAAAGGGAAGCAGACTTTGGGTTGTTTGGTCCTACATTTCCCATGATGCAACATGCTGGGATCTTTTCATCAGACCACAGAGACATTCAGACTTCATTATTCAGACTTATTAAAGAATGACTCCAAACAGTCTGTTCCTTTTCATAAATCATCAACTTCTGATGCAAACTCTGGTTTTCGTACCAAAAAAACTTAAAAGTACTTTTTAGAATATTGTCACAACTTATTCCGAGTCTCTGACATGAAAACATAATAAACTAACGTGAGATCACTCAGTGTTCAGAGGCCTGTTCTTAAGAGGTGCGCGTCATCGTGCAACCTCTTTGTCACGACTAATTATCTGCTGCGATAACAACCACAGAAGAAGAAGTCTTTATTGTAACGCCGCGTTAAAGGAACCCCCTCTGGGCTCTTCATGGTTCTCGTTAACATTTCTCAACACTCTTCGTCTCTTTCAGATCCCGTTAATCGTAACCGGGTGTGTGTCGTCTCCGGGAGGAGGAGGAGGAGGAGGAGGAGGAGGAGGAGGAGGAGGAGGAGCCGCCAGCTGATCTCTGGATCGCATTAAAATTCTTCTGGTGTCACACGACGCTGCCGTCTGGCGGGATTTCTCTGCAGGGTGAGCGGGGAGTTTGGGAGTTCGGGGTCAGGGTTACGGATCATTATCTGCCCCGGGTCCCACCGCTGGGAGGGGGCCTCTCGGGGGCTCCTAGGGGGCCCCTGGACCTGAGTGAGTCAGCAGTCCAGGTCCATTCCTCTCACTCTGCACCCTGACAGAATGACGGACAGGACCCGGTAGAAATAGACCTCTTTGCTCCGCTCTGGGTCTGCAGAACGGCAGCGAGGCCTGACGGGAGTGAAACGTAGAAATAATCTATATAAATAAACGTAGAGACCATCCGCACTGTGTCCTGTGAATAAACTCTACTGTATACATATATATATATGTAACTGCATCTCTATCTACTGTACTCTATCATTATTTATATCTAAATAGATCTTGATCTGTGTATCACAATCTGTTCATCACTTTATCTCTATATATTAATATCTGTCTGTTGTCTGTGACGCTCTGTGTCCTTGCTTCCTTGCTTCCTTCTCTTTGCCTCCTAAAGGCTCCATTCAGAGATCAGCTTTCGTTAAACACCATTCATAACAGGTGGGGGGGAGGTGGGAGACAAAGAGCCGCTAAATCTGGGTCACTAGAACGTGACGAAGAGAGGAACAAACCTCTCAAGTAAAACACTGCAGTACAAGTACACGGCAAAGTATGCAAAGTGGACATACTCAAAGTACTCATTTCTCCCATTTTCTCCATTTTCAGATGACTTTTTAAAAGAGTTTGTGCACATTAATAAAGATTATGATAAACATTAGTGCTTCAAATAAACAGAATGAAAAAGTAAGAAGAAAAGGAGAGAAGGAAGAACAATAACAGGCTTCAAAAGACAGAAGAGGAAACTAAAGGTCAGCGATGCTTCCACAGTTACATCTGGAGTTTGTCTCAACATCCAGTAAGATGTGAGTCACAAAGCAGCCGTGGATTTTTGTTAAAATCCCGACAAAAACAGGGACGAACGTCTCGTTACGGCCAATCCGAGGCTCAGATTCCTCTTCCTGTTCGGACTCGTTGGACCTGAAGGAGGCTTATTCCATCACCCGGACAGCTCCCATTGTTCTGCCGCCACGGAAAGAACAAAAGGCGAGCGCTCACGAGAGTTCAAGAGGCACATTTACCTGATTTCAACGGGGCCCCCCGATCCCCCCAGGGCACTCGGCAGCACTGGCGTGCCCCCGCTCAGGCTTCCAGCCATCTATTAGTCTTTGCTTGATAACATTTGTTCCACACTTTCTCATAGTCAGCCCCGCTGCAGAAACACTGCGTTAGATCTGAGAGGGTCTGGTTGTGACCTCCAGCTTCTACAGCTTGGAAGAGTTCTACATGTTTGTGAGAGTTCTGCATGTTTGTGAGAGTTCTACATGTTTGTGAGAGTTCTGCATGTTTGTGAGAGTTCTGCATGTTTGGGAGAGTTCTACATGTTTGT